TTTACAAATTTTAGTCAAAGAACACTTGTCATTGAGATATCTTTGTGCCCCCATGTAATCACTCAGCAGGCCAAATCTCACACAATGCAGCCTCTGTGAGTATGTTTTCTGACACTGTGTCCATCCAAAGGGGTTAGACAAGCAGAATTAGCCAATGGACCAGTAATAAAGGCTTTCTATTAGTCTTGGCCTTTGCTGGAACAATGGTTTCATTTATAATCCCAACATCAAGATGTCAGTTTGGAAAAGTCACAGCAGAACATTATTTCTAAGCTTTTGGCTGCTTTGAACACTGCTGTATTCATTTTCCTCCTGAATCCATATTTACAGGCTAAGTGTGTGTTCCCAACATGTGAGCTGCTAAAGAAAAATAACTAGGGTTACTCCTGCTGCTAAACAGAGAAGGTCAGTCACAGACTTCGTCTGTAGCGATAAAATTCAGCTGTATCGGTTGTTCCTATGAGTTGCTTTCAAAGTGTTAATTTTCATTAAGAAAACATAACAGCACAAGCCACATCATGCATATATTAGTGAAAGACAGAAAGGACTAAACCTAAAAAGATTGCAATGTTATTTTTTATTCCAATGATCCATTCTCTTCTATCACACAAAAGGCTGATAGAATCTTTCCAGAAGTCCCAAATGATTTGAAAACTGCCAATTAGCCGCAAGGGACCAAGGGGGAAAATTCAGTTCAAGAAGTTAAACAGGAGAGTAATAAAATTTATTCTAAGTGTAGGTATCAGTATGATAAATGAAACATCAGAAAAAAAAAAAAAGAATCAAATGCAATGAGATGTGAATTGTTCCCTCCCAGAAACCTTTGAAATCCTATTAGCCTGTAATCAACCGCAAATGAAAAAGCAAGTCCCTTAAGCACAGCTGAAAACACTCGATCAGTCTGGACTGACTCCACAGTGATTTGCCCCACAGCAAACCCTAGACAGTTTTGCTGTCTTGTACCCATTGCTTTATATATATATATATATATACACACACACACACAGAGACAGATGTGTATATATTTATATTTTAATTATGAGTTTCCAGTTTGCTTCCTACATGGCAGCTCCTACATTTCCTCTACTAAAGACTTCAGACACAGAGTCGTAAACTACGTAACTTCATCTTTCATGCTTTAGGAAGGTAGTTACAATGACTGTCTTTACTACATTTTTCCTTCAGCTACTTCAGCACACTCAAGGAAAAGGCAAAGATGATTTTGTCCAAGCCCCTGGCAACAGAACATCAAATATTTGCTTAGAAAAGACTTGGGATCCTCAGTCCAAGGACACAGAAGGGACATGAGCTGCTTTGCTCGTAATTCTCACTAAGGATCCCCATCCTGCTGCTTTGGCAACCACACCGCCCTCATCCATGAAATGGGGTTGCTGCCACGTCCAGAGCTGCCTTTGCCATCCCACAGCCCCTCAGGAGGGCAGCACCCAGTTAATTACTGAGCAGGCACCAGGGCATGCGCCCACCCTCTTGGTAACTCGGCCCTTCAGGAGGAAACTGGGTGGTTTCTTGAGAGAATAGCAAGAATGAGAGAAGCAACAGGGGGAAAATAAAAAGAAAAAAGCCCCTGCTTTTAGTCAGAGAGCCTTTTGGTCAGGCTTTCAGACCCCGACACCACGTACATGCTATGGTTTCCAGCTGCATGAAGCCATTTCGCTGGGCACCCAGTGAGCTGAGAGAGGTCATTGTAATTCATAACAGGGAAGGCTGTTGTGAGCATCACCCTATTATGATACACATTTTCTCTGAATTTAATTTATAGGAAAACATGTGCTGCATAAATTCAGGAAATAATCTCCATATGTTCTGTGCTGCAGCCCTCAGCCACTCTGCAGGCTGCAATATATCCCGGTTAGGCACTGACCACTTTGCTGGCGCTATCATAATGTATGTCATGTAGCTAATGTGCTGCTCTTGGCTGAGAGCGACGAGCTACAGATCCCTAACGGTGCACTCAGTGAATCACCGCCTGTGGTCCCCTGCCGCCACCACCGACCCCCAGCCGCCGGGCCATCAGTAGCCAAGCTGCAGAGCCCCCAGAAGGCCGTGACGCTGCACCCCGGGAAAAGCCCGGTGCCGTGCTTGTTGGTGGGGAGCTACGGCCATCCCACGCTGCACCGTCCCTGCGCTCTGCATCCTGGGTGTAATGAATTCCTACCCAGCCCGGGCTCCGCTGGGTTGTCAAAACACGCGCTCTGTAATTTAACAACCATCAAAGCCCGGGACTTCTCCCTGTCTGACGGCAGGCCCTCAAAACCATTTGAAAACTAAAACCAAAATAGCTATGCTGTTTGCCTCCCTTCAGGATTCGGAGCCCACTCATCTGCCTCAACTCTGGTGAGAAACCTATTATATCAGCTGACAGCAATACACTTAAGGGTGAGGAGGAATGTATTTACTTACACACAATTTGCTCCATTTTTTGTCCTTTTGTAAGCTGGAAAAGCATTACAATGTGCATTACTGCAAGAGAATAATATTTCTGGCAAATACTTTAAGTGAACACTTCAAAATCCACCCTAATTTATATCCTTACAATATCTTTAGAATATATATCCCTATTTATGTCATTAAAAGATAAGACCACACCAGCAAACACACACCAAAAGACAAATATATGTATGCATATATGCATGCACACATCAAAATGCTTCAGAAATATGCTGTCATTCTTAGCAGATCAGGTACCGCGGTGTGGAAAATGTAAAGGTATCACAGCATTTCCCTGTGCTCAGGACACAAAATAAATTGAAATATTTACGTGTGAATACCATTTTGTATTATGATAACACTGAAAAGTCTCACACAGGCTGCAGAGCCCAAAGCCTCGCAGGGCAGTATATAAGTACCGTGAAATAAGATACAAAGGAGTTTACATGTTATAATGACATTCTGATGTTTCAAAGGCAATGGGACTTCTGTCACTGGCTCAGTGGGGCCAGGTTTCATACCATACATACACGGACCACCACACTGAGGTCTCCTCAGTGGCAGACTAGGAATGACTCAAGGAACTAACAACACACCACCATCTCCCATCATAATTCACCCAGGTAGCAGGAACCCATTATCCCAGACCACCTGAGCATAGCAGGTTACAACTAGCCATATTAATGCTAATGACTTAGTTAATGAAATCCCACTAAGTGGGATGCTTGTGGAAGTAAGATGGTGATGATACCACATGGTCCATGCCCCCAGTTCCCCTCTGGACACCTACTAAACATAGTGCATTCGGTGAGGACTCAGGAGAATACCTCTTGAAGGATATCTAAGAGGTTGGATTTATTATGACAGGGCATTACTATCAATAGCGATTCACTTTAATTCATTGCCTCACAATAAATGTCTTATCTGAGGCATAAAGGCATACACTGAAAACGCTCAATTGAAAAACAATTCCATTTGTATCTCCTATTCAAGGTATTTTTTTTCTTCGGTTCCTTATTCTCACTTACCAAGGACATTTGCATGAAAATAAGATCTTACTCATAAGAGCTCACCTGCTGCCTGCTGTTTGGGAGCTGTAAGCCTCCCTGTTGTTGGCTGTTGCAATAATTTCTACAGCAGTGATCTGGGATAACACAAAGGATTAAGGTTCTGCAAGTGGGGCACTATCCACAGCCCACTGAAGTCAATGGAAACTCTTACCTGTGACTCAAAAGAGGTTTTACGGGGCCTTGGAAGCCTGGCGGTGCTGAGCCTTCACTAACAGCATGTGCTGTAAGAACGCTTCCTCTTCCAAGATCCTGGTCCTGCCCAAGATCTCCTTTTTAGTAATAGCCTGAATTACACCTTCTTTCAGGATCTTCATTAAAGCTTAAATGTCTGTAGTTCAAAAGTTTTTCATTCCCACTTTGATTTGCTCTGGGTCTAGATAACTTCATCTTTTGGTCATTTTTCCCCAAGAGTTAAAACTTTAGACTGTGTAATAAATGGATCATCGGATCAATAGAACCAGACCCAAGAGATTAGGGTTCAACAGACCAAAGGAAAGAAAGAATTACTAGAGCTTCTTCCCATTCTTACTGCTAGATGGAAAACACACAAAAATGCCTTTTTGTACCAAAGGCCACAAAACTGTCATCCAGAGCATTTGCACTGAAGGACTCTGCTCCTCTCATCTGTTAGGACATGCTTGCTCTCCCAATTTTCAACCCCTCTCTCTCTTCATTTACCTCTTTCTCACTCCTTTTTGACAACTAAAAGCAAACAGGAATGGAATGACAGGAGTGATGATCTGCAGAGGCAGGGCTCCAGACCCAAAGACTGAGAAGTTCCCTTCCCAAACTGTGTTTGCTCTCAAAACCCTGCCACTGTGCCAGAAGAGGGTTCTGCATTTTTTTTAGCAATTTTTACTGATGAGTTTGGAACCTGCAGTGAACATCACGTTCACCAGCACGTTCGTCATAGCACCCAGGCCTTTAAACCCCCATGGGCATCCCTGGTTGCTTCATCAGAGGCACAGAGAGAGCAGCACCGTCAGCTGGTGCAGTGCAAACATTTATAAGGCTGACCCTGCAAGGCAGTGAGCAACACTCCTCTGTGCTCAGCATCTTAGGAGCATGGGCAGCACGGGAGTTCACCTTGTTCTTTTGGGGAATAAGACCCCAGACTTTCACACTGGTTTGTTGCACTCTTTGAAAAGTTAACTCCGAGGGAACATCCCTTTGCAAGCAATAAGGGGGTTTTAGCTGTGTCAGTAGCAAGCATGAGGCCGTG